GTGATTTAGAAGGCTTATTGATCAACTAAAAATCGAATTTTGGTCTACAAAAACAACACGTTTTGAACACCAAACTGCAATTCGTGTTATTGAACGTAAATTTGTCTGTTGGGTACTTACTTCATCATGAACAATTAAAATAAATATGTTTTTAGCCAGATTCTAATGGATGTTATGTATGTACAGGGCCGTAGCCACCGGTACGGTTGGTCAGGAACCACAAGTCTGTGAACTCTGGGGCAGGCCCGTAGGAAACAATTTGGAAGTGGGGTGGAGGAATAAGCAGGCGCAGCCACGGATATTTGAAAATTTTACTAAATAGGCCTAACAAGTCATTTTTCAATCAGAATATATTTTATTAAATACGACACATTTTCTTGGGAAAGGGTGGGAAGGGGGTGGGAAGTTGCCCTCCCGCCCCAGGCCTTCCTCTCCTAAATTTTGCAAAATAAAAAAAATGGTGAAAAAAAGAAAATTGTATTTAAATTTAAGTCTCAAGGTGGCATTTCTGGCAATCTAGAGTTGCCATAATCATACATTTTCTTATCTCAGACCCAACCTGGTGGGACTGAGATGGTCTACATCCTCTATCTGTGAAAGCCCCTCTCTGGCCCCCTTTATTTAAAATTCCTGGATCCACCACTGTACTGTACTGGATTTGAATCTATATGAAATGACACAAGAAGAAAATAAATCCATGTTTAATAGTCAATCCCAGTCAATTCGTATATTATGAGAGTACGCAGAAAAAAAAATCAATCAGTTTATCATCATGGTAAACACACAGTGAGCCTATAATGATACCCATGATGATCAAGAAAAAAGTTCATTTATATTGTTATGTTGAGTAAAACACTGATGACCAGATCAGTGGTGATGCCATTGGTGTCTGAGTGGCTACATCCCACTCCTCTTCCCTGTCAAGGGGAGCTCCCCTGCCGGGGAGGGAAAAAAAATTACGTGGTGTGAGACTCGTTTAAAGCCTTTTAAATCTCTAAATTATTATCAGAGTTCCCTGCCCAGGGGAAGTTCCCTTCTGGGCCCTTTCGAGGGGGGGGGGTTGGGATCATCATCCCCTTATTATTATTATTATTATTATTATTATTATTATTATTATTATTATTATTATTATTATTATTATTATTATCATCATCATCTCCTGTTAGATCTGTACCTGAAGATACCTACATGGTCTGTCTGACATAAATTTATTGACTAAATAGAGTGTCTACCAGAGAGAAACACAGGATTTAATTAAAACATTTTTTAACAATTCAAGTGATAGTACAATTCATATACAGCGTAATAAATAATTGATTATGCTTCAGGTTGAATTTAGTATTGTAAGTGTAATTAAACAGCAGTATGTTTCTCGAACGTTATTTGTGTAGGCATATGCCTACTCTATTTCCAAAGTTAATTCATAGCATAATTGTATCCTGTGTATTCATAGAACACGTTTTATTTAATTGCGTATTGTTATTCATTGCATTATATCATTCGTGTTTCTTTATTACATATTTCACAATACCCTTCACGTCGTGTAAATATCATTATCGTATAGTCATTGTTATTCCTTGCATTATATAATATTCGTGTTTCTCGCACTTAATTATTCATAGAGAATTAAGCAACTTATTTAAATCTTGAACAATATATCATTTGTGAAACAAAATGATAGGCTAAGTGTTATATTGAACAGTGGCATATCCAAGGGGGAACCCAACTTTTAATGTGAGAGTGCCATTTCCGGCCATCTAAAGGTGCCATAATCATAATTTTTTCAGTCCCCACAAGAGTTGTGGAGCTGAGGCGGGTGGACATTCTATTTGCGCAAGACCCTCCCAGGAAGCCCTCTATTTCGACTTCCTATCATTTCCGGGATGACAGATATAGCAGAATAAATAAAGTAAATGACTTAGAAAGCAGTGTGAGGGTTACAGTATAGATTTAAGTGGCGGAATCAGGGGAGGTGGACTGCCCACCCCCCTCTCCTAAATTTTTCAAAATAAAAAAATGTTGAGAAAAAAAGAAAAAAAGAAAATTGTATTCAAATTTATGTCTCACAGTGGCATTCTGGCCATCTAGAGTTGCCATAATCATACATTTTCTTATCTTAATCATCTTCATCTTCATCCTCCATCTGTGAAAGCCCCTCTATCCCTCTCTGTGCCTCCTTTATTTATAATTCCTGGATCCATCACTGTACTGTACTAGATTTGAATCTATATGAAATGACACAAGAAGAAAATAAATCCCATGTTTAAGAGTCAATCACCGTCAATTTGTATATTATGAGAGTACGGTCAAACAGTCTACACCAGATATTTCAAAAACCGGTCAGTTGATGTGAATGAAACTTACGGGCAAGTTCAATCAATTTACAAGGAAGAAATGTTTATGTGTTAGTGACGATCAAGTGAAGGGTGTAAATTTGAGGCTCTTTTCAATTTTTGAGGACCCAGACCTAAATATTTCTTTTTTAAAAATCAATGGGTGTAATTTAAACCTTGTATAACAGTTTGTCACGGTCGAGTAAAGAATTTTTTTGTGACGATCCGAAGTAGGGTGTAGATCAGAGGACCATTGAAAGGAAAACGTCCCAGACCCCAGATTTCGAAAACGGATCAACTGATCTGAATGGAACATTCGGAAAAAGTTTAACCATGGTTACAAGGAAGACAGTATTATGTGTTGGCGACGAATCAGTCAAGGGTGTAAATGGGAGGGTCGTTTAAATTTTTGAGATCCCAGACGTAAATATCTATAAAAAGTTGTTAATGGGTGAAACCCATTAAAATGAATGAAACGAAATAAATGAAACTTTCTATAGACCTAGTAGTTTATAAAGTTAAAGTAAAGATATGACCGAATTTTTGTGATGATCCGGCGTAGGGTGTGAATATGAGGACCTTTTAAAGGAAAATGTCCCAGACAAGATATTTCAAAAACAGGATCAACGGATCCGATGAAACTTTCGGGAAAGATTTACCCAAGTTACAAGGAAGATATAATTATGTGTAGCGGAGGATGCAGGTTAGGGTGTAGTTTTGAAGGGCGTTTATATTGCTTACGTCCCAGTTATAGATAGGCAAAAATGACATTTTGCAGAACAGTTTTTCATGGTGAAATGAAGAAATTATCCAATTTTGGTGACGATCCGCAGTAAAGTGTGAATGTGAGGACCATTTAAAGATTTTTGTTGACAGTTGATTAAATTATTTAAACCCAATTTGGTTTTCTAAAGCGCTTGAACCAGTTACAGCTAGGTTAAACTCAAAACTACCGTGATATGCATGAACAATTTTGCTTTCAGTCATTGAATCGCTATGAACTGAAAATGCACTTTCTTTTTCAAGGTCGGCTCATATGGCGGCTATTGTTATGAATCACAATGTCCTCGCTATAACCATTGGAGCCATAGTTCAAGTCTCACTTCGCAGTGAACTTGGTTTTTGTTTTTTTCCCACCTCATTAAAATCATATTGGTTTCCGTGTTTTTTCACTTTATTTCTTTTTGTTGCAATATCAACTTCATCTGTCATTAAATCAATGGGAAAAAGCCCTATGTTCTGTTGTTCAAACATACATAGCAAGTCTGGTTATTATTATTATTATTATTATTATTATTATTATTATTATTATTATTATTATTATTATTATTATTATTATTATTATTATTTATTTAATATTAATTTTTTTGCAGTTATTTAAGAACCTAAAATAGTGCCACTCCTTTGATTTTTCCTGACGCAAACACATCGAAATAATGGTTAAAAATAATAATAATAATAATAGTAATAATAATAATAATAATTATAGTAATAGTAATAATAATAATATTAAAAATAATAATAATAATAATTATTATTATTATTATTTGTGCAATTGTGTATTTTTTATAGGTTATTTCTTTTTTGTTAAGTTTTTTTTTAGTTAGGCTCAGGTATTATGCTCTATATAAATGTATTATTATTTAATTATTATTATTATTATTATCAATATTATCATCATTATCATTGGCATTATCATTTGTTATTATTATTATTATTATTATTATTATTATTATTATTACAAGTCTCCCTCCAATTAAAGACCACTTGCTGGACCGGGGTTTTGGTGGTCTTTAGCAGATTTGGTCTCTAATTAGAATTCCTCTAATTAAAGACCGGCACTAAAAGTGGTATTATTATCACTATTTAGAGGGAAATTAAGAAATGATATATTAAATGTAAGATCTTATTCCAAGTGCTTTAGAATGGATTTACAGTTACTGTATGCTGTCATTGATTCTTGATAAACAGCTTGTGGCTCTACACACATCAAGTCCTGTGCTCGTTCTGATATATAAATCTCCATTACAATATAACTAATAACATCTTGCTAATAAAACTTTGCCTATTCAATAGAGTACTGTATACAGAAATCATCATCTTAAGTTGTGTATTATTTTGATGTGTATATTCATATCATCATCACTATTTAAAAAAACTGTATTAAAAGTCACTATTTTGTAAAGTGTTCTTTATTTGAAGGGATTTTTTAAAAGTTTAGTTGGGTCTGCCAAAACCATGATACATTTAAGTTTAAATGTCCTACTAACACAATCGGTATTCAATAAGGAGCATGTCATCTTCACTAAAACCACTAATTATATTTTTAAGGTAGTCCTTATATAGAGGAGATAATTTTTGTTTACAGTAGTATTGCACTACTAGTAGTGTTGTTGAAAACAACAGAATTGAGAATTACTGCATGACCATATTTTTTTTTCACTTTTAATTA